AAATTAACTATTTATTTCGCACTAGTCACTTAATGCGTAGTTTCTTATTTAGAACTTTTTATAAATAAAATATATTTCTGCTTTAAATTACTCAATTAAATATAAATTAATAAAAATATTGTATAAAAACATAAATAAAATAGCTTGATATTAAAATACATAGATTATAAACGTAAAAAAACATGGGTAGATAACTGTATTAAATTTGAATTCAGTAATAAACATTGCATACAAAAAACGATTCTGAGCGAAAACATTCTTCAACCTAACTTCTTAGAATATTTTATACTTTATTTAAATATTTTTATTAATAATAAGATAGGTTCAACTATTTCATTAAGCATAGCGTATAAATTTGTAACAAACATATTTAAGTCTTTAAATATATACGTCAAAATATTTGCATTTGAAATTTTTATTTAAAAAAAATAGATATTTATGACATTTTTAAATAGGAAAAACTTACAAAGAACTTTTTATGACATTTTCATACCTTAGCTATTAAAATATTTTTTATTTTATATGAAATCTTAAGTTTAATTTCATAGATTATTTCATTATTATCTTTTGTATCGATAAAAATATTTTATGAATTCATCTAACCATAGATGAGTTTGTGTAATTTCTAATAGTTTCCTAATATAAGTCAAAATTTATCTGTGACTATTTATTTATAAATTCAATAATAAAAAATTAAAAGAGCATGAAAAAAAAATCTTTTCGATTGTATCCCGATTTTGAAAAAAATATTTATAATACTACAAAATATTTTTGCCTTTTTTTTATGTAAAAATATGTAGATCTCATTTAGGTAAAATTTGGTACGGGAAAACAGCAATTGTAGCCTAATTTTATAAACAACAATACTAAATAAATAATTTTTAACATAAAATTTATTAATTATTTTTTATACTTTCTTTTTTAATTTTTGATATTGTTTATTGTTTTTTTTTTTTTTTTTTGTACGATATAATTACACATTTCAACCATGAAATAATTCTATAATACTGAACACATATTAGAAATATATTTAACCAACGACACTGTTTCCTCCACAGATAGGGAACTAATTTGTATTCTCAACAGTGCACACAATAAATAATTTTGAATTATTTCATAGAAAATTGAAGAGTTTGTTCAATTCATCAAGCAAAAACATACATTGTTTGACATTTTAAAAAGATTCTTAAAAGTAATTCTCATAACAGCTTGAGAAGTCATGGTACGAATATCAAAACAATTACACAAGTAAAAATTATTCGATTAGATTTTGTACAAAAATGATTTACTTTTACTAGTTTCTTAATTATTAGTTTAATATTAAAACAAGACTGAGACAACGTGATTATTTCACCAATTTTGTTCGAAATTGCATTAAAATAAATAGCCAGAAAAGTACTTACTCTGGCGTGAGATCAAACTTATGATTGAGAATCTATCAAACTAATGGCATATACATACGATAATGTAATGTTGTAAAAATCAGGAGGTGGTCTACAGATAATAATGCATAAGACTTATAAAGAAGTTGGGACGATATATCATATTTTCAATACATAGCTATTCTATTAAAAAATCTCATTGACTTTTCTAAATTTTGGTGATTTCAAAACATATTGTCAACAATTAAACTTCTAATTTGTGAGGAATCTTGTAACGCATTTACATACTCTGTTACTTACTATCAAAAATTTAAATATATGTATATATATAAATCTTAAAAAAAGTCAAAATATTTTAAAAATACTATTATTTATAAATAAGAATTAATTACCTACACAAATCATAATATTAACATCGCATAAATATTACCATTTTTAACAATACAAAATACATTTTTTTCCCTATTAAATATATATAAATGAGAATTCTCCAATCTTTCAAATACAAACTATAGATTAAAATTTCTGTGAAAAACTACCCTATAATATTGGATCAAATAATTGATAAGCTCTAAAACAAGAAAACACATAATTTTTTTTAATCAATATACATTTATTATATGCCTTCCTTAGAAAAGATTAAAAATGTAATTAAAAATAGACGAACCTTTACAAAATACAGTGGAAACAAAGTATAGTAATCAAACAATGTCTGAAGGTTGAATAAACGAAATGACAATAACAGTATAATCCTTATTGTTATAAAATCAAGGTCCAATGGTCTAATATAATACCTAACATAACTTGAATAACTTCATTAAATTTATAATAATTTACGTTTAATTTAAAATCAATTATGATAACTAATCTAGAAACAAGAATATAAATAAATATAAAGACAAAAAAATTAACCTTTCTAATAAAATTATTAACAATGTACCAATAAAATATTCCAACCAGCACATAAACAAATTCATAATCACAATAGTTCTAATATTTCATTTCCTCTACATTTTTAACTAAACCTACTACCTAATCTAGTGAAATTAAGAAATCTGTGAGAACCTACTTTGATAAAATAATATTTATATTTTTTGTAATAAGTACAACAAAATCTGTAACGAAATCTATAAAAATTTAATGAGTTTCAACCAAATGTACTTTCTCACGAGTTTTTACTTTTTATATAGATATCTATATTCTACAATATTTCTTAAGACCACCTTATACACATATTATGTATAATAAGGTTAAAAAATTTGTTTTGAAAACCTCTATATTTAATACTAATATACTATAATTCCATATCCCAATAATCAGTACCTATGAACTTACACATATAATATTCATTTAAATATATATAAAAAAACTTATGCTTTTACATTTTAAATTTTTTGATTTTAGTGGAAATTACACTTATAAGAAACGTTGTATTAGGTACATTTTAAGGCTTTTTGATCGATTTAACATTGTTTTTTTCTCGATTTCAGTAAATTTAGTCATTTAGAAAAATACCATTCAGGTTATATGGGTTTCAGTTATTTTGATTTCTTAAGGGTTTCCAGGGGTGTACAGGTTAGACACTTAGGCCTGATTATAATGTAATAAAGTTTCGAACAACTTTAATAAATAATTCATTATACAACGGGTACAATACACACGTCAATTCACTCCTCACCTCCACACAAACACACACTCGTCGTAATCAATAATTAATAAATACATTGTTTATAAAATTAAGTAAAATCATGATAATACAAGTATGACCAAGTCACGTGGCAAATTAATTTAAAGTTTGTAATTTCTGACTCAGTATTATCTTTTTTAATTACAAGAACACATAACATGTTATTATACATAAATAGATAGAGTTATAAAGTTAATGTTTAATACCTATTAAATACAATATTCATTGTACATAAATTTAAAATAATCATTTTTAATTATATCAAAAAATTGAATTCATTAAAAATTAGCGTTGCATAAATATCATCATTTATCTGGGAAAAATGATTTGTTCTTAATTAATTTCAATCAATTAAATATATATATAATACGGAAAAAACTAGAATTTAAAGATCGAAAGACTTTTCATCAGTAAAGTTTCCAAAAAACCTAGTACTTTCAATACATCACTCACATAATCTAATAAAATGTATATATTAATATATTATATCAATACTTATAAATACATATAAAATTTTATAAAATATAAAAATAATAATTTTTATAATTTATAAACGTATGTACAACTTAATTTTCATAACATTTATTATATCAATCTCATGTAAAACAATGCTGTAGATTATTTATTAATTATAATTTTACAAATTTCATAATAATTCTAAGTTATAATCAAAAATACATTCCTGATAAAGCTAACTCTAAAGTTTACTTTAACACACTATTCTTTATAAATAACTATTTTGTAGTCCCATAGCATGCAAGTCATTTTTCATTTAAATAGTTACCAAATGGCAAATCATGCAATTCATTAATTAATGATTGAATTAGTTATGTTGGTGCAACCAAAATATTTTTTTTTAAAGGGGACTCATACTTTGTTTGATATGTTAAACGTTATGAAACTTTTCATAGTTCTATTATAATTTTTAATACATCATAATACGAAACATATCAGTATATCACCATCGTTACATATATTTAATCTACACAATCACAAAATTAGTTGATAATTTAATGTTTATTCATATTAATCATATTATATTCTAGATTTAATAATTAGACTAAACAAATTATGCGTAGCCCAAAAGAGAAGGGTTCAGGCACAAGGTATAAGGTACACTAGGTATAAATTAATAATAGCGACAAAAAAAGATTAAAAATACGATTCTACAAAATGTATAAAACGTGTTATCTACTATCATGTCGAACCAAATAATGTGTCTTTTTCGACATTAGGTACCTTCTGTTCAACCATATCACAACATAATATTATACATTATCAATATATATATTAAACAGTATGTATTCTATTAAAAAATAACAATGGCACATTTTACTTACATGTCTTCAAAATTTTGGAACAAAGAATAATTAAACTAATTAAAATTAAAGAATAATTATCTATACCTACCTATATTACTTGTGTATTAATGCGGAATATTATAAATTAAATGATATTCATATTGGTAAATCGTGATTACTGTTTAGATACTTTACTTAAAAGTTAAGATACATTATAAATATCAAAAAATCAATGTCATTGTATTCCGAGTGCCCAGTTGTTCAAATAAAAATGTTTGAGTGTCATAAAAAATGCATTTTAATATTAAAAATCTATACCTAGGTATATGTTATTACAATAGGTATTTGTCATATACTCGACTAGTCGGTATTCACGTATATACTCGATTAATGACAATAAAAATCGTGATGAGTATATAAAACAAATAAAAAAAAAATGATTTAATTTATTATTAATTTAAAAAAAAAACATTCGCGGTTATTGTACGAAAACACACAGAGGTCCGCCAGTGCCTGAATTATTTTAATATTTCAAATGTTTAAACAGACGAACCTTACAAACTTCGTCGTATAAACTACCATGGAGGATAAAATAATAAAAATATATATTATATTATTGTCATCACTCACTTTTTTTGGCAATCCCGCTAACATGATTATTTTTTACTTGTCGTTCAAGAGTCTTCGTCCTCTAAAACGAACTTTCCAGTTTCTCAAATAGTTGCGCCGACCTTTAACGCGCGCTCGTTATTACCGTCAAGTTATTTACTATGATGAATCAAGTAATCATTTTTTGAATTATTATTTTGACTGGTAGGGGACAAACGGCAACGCAACACCTGTACGCGGATATGACATAATATATATATAAACGCTCGCGTAGCGCACCGGCGTGGCCTTTGTCGCGATACTGCAGCGATATAATACGAGCGAGGATGAATGTCTACGGTTGCGATTCTCGACTAGTGACAGGCAACGGCCAACTACAGTGGCGGTAATCGAAAATACCGAGTACGTTAAATTAATGCACTCGCACTCTAACGGTTGTGAGTAAATGTGAGTTTGAAAAACACCTGCTGCACAGTGCACACACTCGCCGACGTGCATACACTACCTACACCATGTGCACAAACGCACAATATACAATAATAATAATAATAATAATAATACGCGATCAACGACGGGCAACCATCATGATATGTACCCGTCCAATAAAATGAATTCCAAATTACACGCGCACGACGAGATGCATTTCGGCAGTAATTCGATTTATTTTTTGTCCACCATGACGCCGAGCACTGCCGTTTGTGGCTCTCAGACACTGGACAGTTTTTTTATACTTATCCGCCGGACGGGTTCTCGGTCAAGCAACCGCAAACTAAAAGGCGAAAGGTGGAAAGAAAACAAAGTCCTATTGATTTATAACTTTTACCACATCGACACACTAACATAATTATTATTAAAATATAATAAGTGTGTATGTGTAGTAAAAGGGGGTTGACCAACATGTGCGTTGTGCTTGTTGTATAATTAACTATAAATCAAAATTGCAAGTATGAAATTTCATTACATTATAACCATGCTTTGCACCCGAATTATTTGGACCCCGTTAAACCCCTATATACACCCTTAAGAAATCAAAACAGTTTAAACCCATTTAACCCGAATGAGTTTTTTTCATAACGAATTAATAGAAACCAGACTAAAAAAAAAATGTTCACTCGATCAAAATACTTGAAAATGTATTACAAAGTTTCTCATAAGTAGCTAATATTAAAACCAAAAAGCACAGTCTTTTCACAAACAGAAAGTATGATCAAAATCAGATATTTAAACAAAAAATTACTATTTTAATTATTCTGTTGAAATTCAAAAATAAGTTTATACTTTTATAATAATTGAATATTAATAATATAATAAATGAATTGGTTTCTTTTTTAATAAAACTTTTCCCCCATTAAAAATATCCATATACGACTGCAGTACGTCACTGCTTCTGATAATTACTTACTTTAAATAATAGACACTAACAATAATTTACGTAGAACGGTGACTTTACCAAGTATCCAATTATACGCATTTATAGATAAATACTTAACCTAATTAGCATCTAAATAATTAGCTCATGGACAATTTGATAACAAATTAGTCTACAAGGTTTTAAGGGTGTAAAATAATTACTACTAGTGTAAATTCAATAATTTATCTTTTAAAGTAAATATATATATATATATATATATATATATATTAAAAAAATACTTAGTTAGCTTATTTAATCTATCAACGACAATTCAATCCATTAAAACTGTTCAACCTTCGCTTACAAATTAAAAAAATATATATTATTCAACGGAGTTACCTGTTGTACCGAATAGATAGCTTTTTGCATGATATAGTACTATAAATCACCGATAATAATCGGCCGTGGATAATTTGAAATTTGTTCCCTTGTTTTGATACCAAAAAAATATAAATATTCGTACTTTTTTGCGTGTGATGACGATTGTAGGAACGTTTGAGTAGTTGATGACGATTGTAGGAACGTCTGAGTAGTCGTGGACGTTTATCTGTACTGAACACAAAAATAATCTTGGTTTACACTAAAACGATAATAATAATACGGACAACAAGTGTGTGTATGTGTGTAATGTATATAGATTGCGACTGTGCGATAGTACAGGTCTGCTCTTGAAGACAGTCACATACGAGGGGTAACACAAAGAAATGACCAGATGGAGATATTCCATTGGGATCAGCATGTGTGTGTCAAGAAAGGTATAATAGAGAGCACATGTTTGAGATTTTGAAAAAGTGAGTGGGGGTGAGTGTGTGAAGCTAGAAGGATCGTCGACGGGATAGAATTATAGGTGTATACAGAACATTTTTAGTCTTTATAATAAAATACGCTGCACCAAAAGAACGAATAGGCCCCTTTGACATTATAATAATGTACCATAGTATTACTAAAATTGTATAAAATGTGAGATAATTAATAATTTTTTTATAAGTTCTTACAATATGATTTATCTATACGTAATTGCAAAGCTAAATTTATTTTCTCTTCTAAAACAGATTTACTGACTGATTCATTTGAATTTTTAGCTTGTTGAAACCATTATTACCTAACAAAGATTTTTTTACGTAGGTTAGGTATCTTTCTACGGAATCAATTTAATGATAAATTAGTAAATTCAAGTATATTTTTTAAAAATTAAATATTTACTAGGTACCTACCTATATTTGGGATCCAATTCACTTGTTCCAATAATTACAGACATTTAGGTATTTAATAAAAAAAAATACTGATACATTTCAAGAAGAAGATTTTGATTTTAAAAATGACAGCTAGTTAATATTAAAGGCTGATGACCATGGTCCGCAATAACCATTACCTATAGCTGATGAACATTTATTATTAAAACTTTAAGAAAATGGTTTGTCGCTAAAAAAATGTTATACATTTTTCGTGAATGGTGGATCATATGAGATCATAAACATTTAATAATGTTCATATTATTTTATTTAATAAAGCAAAAGAATGCCTTATTCGCATAAGTTCCAGTAGGTAGGTTACACGGTATACACATATTATTATGTCGTAATCAAAGACAATAATAAAATTGTTCTTACATTAAAATGTGGTTTAGTAAATTGTGTATTTGTGTGTTAAGATTTCGAATGAAATGATTCACATCTGTTCATTGTTCGTTTCGATGATATTGGAAATAGTCTTAAACGTGCCCATATAGTTTGATACTTTTACAAAAACTTGTTCTGTGCTTTTACCTGGTGTCCTGATCTAGAGCCAAATTGAGTATTTGATAGTAATTACAAAAGTAAATATTATAACTGTATGACGTATGTACAAATATTCGGAATTTGTTGCCGGCGGAATCGTCGTAAGTACAAAAAAAATTTAACACAATCGTTAAATTTCTTACAGGCAAAAAGACTGTTTCGACAGATTTGATATGCCTACTAACATAATATTAATCATAAATATTTTTATTATCATCGTAGACATTTCACATTAGTAAATATTAATAAAGACAAAGCAAAGTACCCATCTACCCTTTGAACTAATTTTTGTACCATAGTACCAACACTACCAACCGAATATAATAATACCAATAGGATATGATATTTTCATATATTTTCAAATTAATCAATTTGTTTTATTTAAATTAATTATTCATAATTTAACCTTTCTTTTAAAATATATCGACTATTTTATTTGGTCCTTTCAGAGCCTAGAGCACATACAAAATCTGTAAATATACAATAACTTGTTTGAAAATCCTCAATCACTGGTGTTATCGAGGAGGTTTGAGAATTGTAACCCTTCCCCGACTCCTCTTTAAATTGATTTTGTTTAATACATGGGTTCACTAAAACGGCTCGATTACAATATCAATTCTTTGTTGTGTACACACCAGTTTATGTATAGTATAATAGTATATAGTATATTGTAGGTACATTACCTTATCGATAAATCCTATCCACGCTAGTTTCTCCAACTATATTATTGCATTTAGTAGAAACAAATATACATTTCCATTATTTCTATATCATAACAATTTTAATGATATCTATATTCAAATTTATAGCAGAATAATTTTTTTTTCAATTGTTGTTGTATAAATAATTTTAGTACAATAAAAATTCTTACAACCTATATAAAATATACAATAGTAAAATCAATGTATTTTATTTTTATTTATAAACAATGATATATACCTATATAATACATGTTTTATAAAATTAAAATCAAAAACTATTCAATATTATAATATATATATATATATATATATATATATATATAACATAAATATAGGCATACAAATTAACTGTATAAGTATATAAACTATATTATAATATATAAGTGTAATAATTATGATGTTTATTTTTATATTTTATTTTAAAAACTGCACCTTAGCACAGAGATGTTAATGATGTACGATATGAATATTGTATATAAATATAAAACAAAATATTTATACTGAGTTGTATAAAATACTAAATTATTCATATTGAAAACCAGATCAATTCATGTTTGACATATAAACAAAATGTATACCATACCTACTGGCTATACAAATATTGAATATAATTAATTTTACATTAAAATTAAACATTTCAAATCAGCTTGTTTGTTTATTCAAATTTTAAAAGTTAAAATCAATTTTGTTAAAATAAGATTGTAACTAAAAAATGTATAAGCTATAAAATATTCAATTATTACATTTTAATAGAGATAATATTTAAGTATTATTCTATTTTAAACATTAAAAAAAAAATATATATATATATAAAATAATTGGTAGAATACATGGGTTTTTTTTATTAAATTTAAATTAAAACCAAACATAATAAGTAATTTTGAAATGTATGTGTTCTTCAGTGTTTTAAAACATAGTATTTATTCTTCTTGAATACCAATAATCTGTGAATAAAAAATAAAATGTTTTATTATAATACAATATGCAACATAATAAACATTATTAAGCACAAAACCTTATATTATTATAATGTAACAAAACTATTTTTATTTAAAATAAAACTATACACTGCCCATATTAATCAGTTTAAAAATAACTAGATTGATTAGGTTTAAATTATTTAGATCAATTAAAATTGTTTATTTAAAATAAAACTAATAAAAGTATACCTAATATAAATAATATATAATTTTTATATTTTTTTTTACTTAATAGCCATTAGTATTAAACTATGATAACTCAACAATTATAAAATAAATAATATTTATTATATTCAAATTTTTAAATATTATTTTTAAAAAAAATTAAAGTAGTAATTTTCAAAAATGTAGAATATTCTACATACCAGTATACAATTAATAATAATAAAAAAATTAAATAAGTTGAGTGACAAACTAATGGATAACATTTTGAAACCTAAGACTTGTATTAAA